TTTTTTAGAATAGATGACATTTTTACCTACTGAAGACTTCTTTGCATGGCCTTTTCCAGATTAGACTAGAACGAAGTTAAGACTGAAGAGTGATTGGTGGATGCGGACATCCTAACAATGTGCAGCGATCACCTGATAGGCCCATGTGCAGGTCATTGAAAAGTTAAATACAGAATAAATGTGAATTTGAATTTGGTAAACCAAATTCAAATGTGACGTTTCAATTACTAATGAAAATGCATGGAATTTAGCGCCACTAAATAACAGTGCTAATAAGCTACCGATGGCCAGTCAGTCTGCTCCACAGCCAACCATGGGCCAACTCCTTGCTCGGGCCCTGGGGCCTCTGCCCCGCCTAACCCTATTGTTAATGCCACCCTGAGCATGACATTTAATATTATATATTATCACAGTTCAGTTCATAGTTTTTGTATAAACACAGTGTAAGAAATTATTATAAAGTGAATGATTATTTAAAGTGAATTTGATAATGATAAATGTATATTTGATTTGTTGCATACAGTAATTTAAAGGATTCACTTTAATCTCTCTGTTTTAGTTCAGTTCATCAGAAGAGATCAGAAGCAGAGTCCAGCTGTGTGTCTGTGAGGAGTGACGGGTCTATGATTCATCCAATAATGTTTAAGAGTGGAGATTCATGGCCTGATCTCAGGTATAACATTTCTGTAAGAGATATGATCTGAACATGTTACACAACATATATAAATATATAAGACATTGTGCTTATTAACACATGTAATATATCATTTTTATTTTACAGGCATGAAGTCCTCAACACGTTTAGATCAAATCTGCTGAAGAAGTTTGAGTGTCTGTATGAGGGAACCGAGAAGAACGTGACAGATGAAGACATGATCCTCAAACTGGGGAGACTAGCTTTTGAGCAGCTTGTGAAAGGAAACCTGATCTTCTATGAGGAAGACCTGAGAGAGTGTGGCATTGATGTGACAGAAGCATCAGTGTACTCAGGATTGTGCACTCAGATCTTCAGAGAGGAGTTGGGCTTGTATCAGGGGAAAGTCTTCTGCTTTGTTCATCTGAGCCTTCAAATATAATTCATTATCTGAGCTGCATCAGAGAGCTGTGGAAGAGGCTTTACAGAGTAAGAATGGACATCTGGATCTTTTCCTGCGTTTTCTTGTGGGTCTCTCAGTGGAGTCCAATCAGACTCTCTTACGAGAACTACTGACGCAGACAGGAAGCTGCTTCTACAACAAAGAGGAAACAGTTGAGTACATCAAACAGAAGATCATGGATAATCGCTCTCCAGAGAAATCCATCAATCTGTTCCACTGTCTGAATGAACTGGGTGATGATTCACTGATGCAGGAGATCCAAGATTATCTGAAATCTGGACGAATAAGAAAAACCAAACTCTCCTCTTCACAGTGGTCAGCTCTGGTTTATGTGTTGCTGACATCAGAGCAGAAGATGGATGTGTTTGATCTGAAACAGTTTATTGGAGAACAACATACAGCAGATGAAGTTCTTCAGAATCTGTTACCGGTGGTTAAAGAATCCAGATCAGTTCGGTGAGTAACACTGAAAACAATCACTGCACTTTCAAACCTTGATCACATTTATGATTTTAGCATGTGCTTTCTTACCAAAGCAAAGGAAAATTTCTCACATTTCTGGCCGTGAGCAGGAGAGGTGTGTGAGATACTCTTACTAAAGCAGCTGAGGAGGTTTTTGTGTCTGTGTGAGAGCTGATGATTGTAGAGCTCAGTGTGGAAGATGAAGATGAAGGATTGAATGTGAGGGAGGTCAAAACTCACAGCAAATAGATTTGGACTCATTGTCCTCTATGTTTAAATTAATGTTTTTACTGTCTGTATGAATAGTATGAAAATTTTCACATTTCTTTTCTTTAATTAATTAATTTAATTAATTATTTATTTAACCGGGACAATGGCCCACATAGCAATTTTTAATGGCCCAGCTCTGGTCCACACAAACCCTTTTGCCTCGGCCCACATACCGCAAAGAATGACGGCCCTGGAGTGGCTCAGATCTGGATTAAAGACAATGGGCCATAACTGGCCCGAGTCTCAGCCAATTAATAGCCCATAAGTGGCCCTGCACTGGGCCTGAATAGGTTTTAGCATTGGTACCGATTCTCAGCCTTTAGTAAACCAGAAGCCCCAAAACTGAGCCACACCTGAGCCTTATATAACCCAGACCCAATACAGCATATTCATATTTTAGATTAGCATTGTGTATTTCTTTTACAGTAATTGCCATCATTTTGTAAAAAAAACATTAACTGACACAAACTTTGCTTTCAGCAGGCAACTGGTAACAAAGACTCAAGACTGAACAATAAGGCATGGCACAAACCCACTTATATAGGGCAAAACACATGCATCGCACTTCAGGCTTAATGAATGGTAGTGTTCAGCATCACCGACCAGGAGGTCCAGTGATGAGTTATTACATAAACATAATCAAAACGCTCTCATCATGAGCAGAAAAGAAAGTTAACTAGCAATTACAAAGTTTATGTTGTCTTTCCATGCCATCTACAAATAATTTTCCAAATTTTAACAATGAAATGTTTATTTTAAAATGCTCTTAACATGCTAATTAATAATGCTAAATGTAAATAAAAAGAAAGTCTTGTCACAAACCTGGTCTGAATGATCAGAGACAGGTAAAAATAACTATATTTGCAGAATTGTTGTTTTCTGCAGTATTTTAGCAAAAATATTGATCTGTTTTGCTGCTCACTTTGTTTCTGCTTCAGCTTTTAAAATAATCGCATCATCCGCAGCTCTTAATGGTGCTTTAGTGTCTTCATAGAGAAGCAACGCACACGAGAAGAGTTTGAATGAAGCCCGTTTGGCTCTAGATAAAAAATATTAGAAGATATGACGCTGAAAGATCATTACAATAAAGGACCCTGAGCGCTCGTGGTGTGAACCGCTCTGTTGTTTTGAAGCGCTGTTCACTTTATTTAGAAACGGTAAAATGGTGCTGCCGTGGCCATTATGTCTCGCGGTCAGGTTGGAACTAAACTGAGGTCCGGACCCATTTGAATATGCGTGATATAAAGTATATAAAGGTCTAAGAGTAGATTCTCCTGCTTGCGACCATGAAGTAATACAATAGAAAAAATGAGAAAAAATCAACGAATTCATAAAGACTCTTGTAGCTTCTATTGAAAGTTGACTCATTGAAAATTTGAAGATTTTTCACCATTAACTAATATATCTGGTTGGACCTCCTCCTTCTTTTTAATTTTAAAATACATACAGGCACTTTTCCGAACATTTTATGTTAAGCAACACTGAGTGAATCAGTCAAACATTTTTGACATTGTGATGGATATTTTTTGTGCCACATGTTCTTCTGTTTTGTCATGTACATAAATCACAGTGTCATCTGCGTATATTTGAATATGTACATCAGGACAAACATCTGCAGCTGGTGTCGGTTCATCATTCATGTTCCCTTTCAGTCGGTCACTCTCATCGTCACGTCGGTGATGACCGACGAATTGGGATCTCGCCAGAGAGACCAATCCACTTCGAGTGTAACTAAATGAGCCAATGCACATTGGCATGCGATTATTGCATCCAGCTGCCGCTGATCACAGCGTGAGTATAAGAGGCAGCAGGTGCACCGCATTCATTCATCCTTTCGCGTCGGAGCCGAGTGGTAGTGCATCACTACTGCTCTCTATTTCGGTGTTGCAAAGCAGAGAGCCAGCGAGTGCGGGCGTTATGGCATGGCAGCGGCTTCAATGCTTCAGCACAAAAGAGCAATCTCTAAAAGAGCAACACGAATGATTGCGTCTTTTTAAAGATGTCTTATCATCCATGCGTTTCTGGGTGCAGTCGCTATCTGGCGCCTCGGGACGGTCACGATCACTGTCTCACGTGTCTGGGCATTGAGCACGCTGAGCAGGCGTTCGTGGATGGTGCATGTTCTTTTTGTTGGGACATGACCATCTCGGAGTTGCATGAAAGACTCCGTTACGTCAAACGTGGCAGGGTCCCTCTGCCTCTGCCACGATCCAGTGTTCGTCTCAGCAATCGGGGCGGCGCTGCGTCCGGTGGACTCAGAGGTGATTTGAGGATCACGGTGACGGCTTCCCCAGAGGGAGTTCGTCACCCCTCAAGCACTCCGCAGCCGGTGGAGCGGCCGGAGGGATGTGCTGGCCCCTCTACACTGTGGAGGGAACCACCTGTTTCCTTCGGTTCGCCCCCTCGAGACCAGATGTCAATCGCTGCATCGGAGGGCGAGCTCTCTCTCTCTCTCCGGGGATGACGACCCGGCTGCGTTGCCCCCTTTGGGTGTGACAGCATTGTCCGAGCCAGACCCAGAGATGACGGCTATGCTTTCCCGGGCCGCCGAGAAAGTCGGTCTCGAGTGGAATCCTCCACCGCGTCCCGATCCTTCGAGGTGGGATGAGTGGTTTCTCGATGGAGGTTGTGCTGGTTCTCAGCACCCCCCTCTGGTGCCATTCCTCCCGGAGGTGCATAAGGAGCTTACAAGGTCATGGAAGTCACCTTTTACTGCCCGAAACAAATCTTGTAGTTCCTCCGCTCTCACCACCCTCGATGGTGGAGCCACTTTGGGGTACACAGGCATTCCCTCGGTGGAGTGGTCTGTGGCCATGCAACTGTGTCCAACAGCCGCTTCCACTTCGCGGGGTGACCCGTGTCTCCCCTCACGGGACTGTAGGTATTCGTCAGGTCTAACTGGCAGAGCTTACAGAGCTTGTGGGGAGGCGGCTTCTGACCTTCACCCCATGGCGTTACTGCAGGTCTATCAGGCCAAAGCCCTGAGAGACCTGCACGAGGGTGGCCACGACCTGACGTTTCTGCATGAACTGCGTACTGCGACGGACCTCACGCTTCGAGCGACGAAGGTGAATGCACAGTCTCTAGGTCGTGCGATGTCCATGCTAGTGGTCCAGGAGCGCCATCTCTGGCTGTGTCTGGCCGACATGAAGGAGCATGATAAGGTGCAGTTCCAAAATGCTCCCGTGTCACGGACCGGCCTTTTCGGCGATGCTGTCGAGAGCTTTGCCCAGCAGTTCTCGGCGGCACAGAAGCAGACTGATCAAACACATCCTGCGCTGGAGGAAACCTGCTGCTTCCACCTCGGCTGCAGCCCCTTAGCGGTTGCCCACGCAGCAGCCTTCCACCAGGCAGCGTCGTGGAGCCGGTCGCAGGCAGGACGCCCAGCCCATCCAGGCCCCCGCCAAACCCGGCGGTAAGCACAAGTGCAGGAGGTCCTGGGACGGGCGACCCGGAGATGGAGGAGACTGCTCGTCTGGAGATGGTGACTGCACCACTCCCTTCCCTGAAGGAGGGCCAGGTGGAGAATACTTTGTTTCATTTTGTTTTTGTTCCGCCGCTGGCCCAGCAGCCAGTGGTACCCAAAACTTAAACAATAAAAGAGTGGTTTCCTCAGTCTCTGGGTCTCAAGAGGAAGAGATTTGTGAACTGTGCATCACAGGGTCAATTCCCTCCTCCTCTCTCGCCAGCGGGCAGCAGTGGGTTGCCCAAGAACACCCCTCCTGCCCATTCGTGGAACCAGGTAAGGGCTGTAGCATTCGAGTCCCTGCTTCATGTCGTCACAGGCCGGGCTGTCACAAGCCTCAAGCCGGGACCCTGTGTTTTCTCCCGCACACGGAGGAATCAGGTGAGTGTTACACTTCGCACTCAGTCCCTGTGTTCCACCACACTGCCCCACCGTGGGTATGTCGGTGGCTCCATTGGTTCCTCTGGCACGGTCTCTCGGAGCCAGGTTAGCGCTCCCCAGTCCGTCTCGGTGGCTCCTGCGGACCATCAGACTCGGCTACGCGATTCAGTTCGCCTGGCGTCCCCCCAAGTTCAGGGGCATCCGGTTTACTTCAGTCAAGGCTGTCGATGCCCCTGTTTTGTGTGCGGAAATCACAGTCCTGCTGGCGAAGGATGCGATAGAGCCGGTCCCTCCAGCCGATATGAGGTAGGGGTTTTAGAGCCCTTACTTCATTGTGCCCAAGAAAAG